CAGTCGGTATGGTCTGCTGTCATTGATGTAAGAAGATGGAGATTCAGTCGGTAGAGTCCTTAAAAGTCAAGTAATAACTCTTGAGAGTGTACTAGAAATGAAAAAGAACAAAAAAAAAGGATACTCTTATTGTATCTAAAAATATATAATTTATTTTGAATTCAATTTTGCCCAGTAAGGAGGGAAGTTAGCTAAATTTCTGAAATAAAAAATTTGCAAACTAGTCCAATCAAAATTGTGACCACATTTGAAAACTGATTTAGACGTTGATTTGAAACTAATAATAAAATCAGTGAGCCAAAATAAGTATATATATATATCTTTTTGGTATTAATTAGTCTTAGGTATTCTGCCTAATTTAAAGAATGCGGCACAACTTGGAATTATACATAGGTTTAGAAAACTTAAGACTGACTTTGCATGTTCACGAACATTCCATTTTTATAAAAAAAATATGTATTAATTACCACTACATAATTAACTAAATGATTAATTTGTATTAATTGATTCATGTTTTGTTAGGAACAATAAATAATTGTGCAAAGTTTCAACTTGATCAGAGAATGGCAAGTGGGAGAAATAATGTGTTCAAAATGTGTACAAGAGTGAGTTGATAAAAAAATATACGACGAAGATCTAGATTTCTAGTTGAATTATATCATACGCCCTACTTAGACACAACCTATAATACATGTTTGGTCATACGATTCCATTATGCTTTTTTTTTGTTAACCATAACATTTAAAGCGGAACTAAAATTATCGTGTGTAAGAAGGTATGCTTACAGTTCGTCTGGGAGGCATGCCTGCAAATATTTAATGCTGTGATTTCGTTATAATTTAACTGGGACATTATGTGGATAATAGACGCCATGATTAATTAAGTTAAAATTTTCAATCTAGACCTAATGTTCTCAGAACGAGTTAGACTACGGCAGAGCTGGTCTTAATTTCTTTCATCAAAACTCTCTTTGTCCACGAGAAAACGGGGGCACACAACTAAGAGAGCACGGGGACCCAGCTGATCGACTCATCGTTTCTTTCTTTGTGTGTCGCTCGGACCCTCGTAGGACAAAGGAATGGTTTGAAATGTTCGATGAGACATTATGTGTTTACAAATTCTAAAGGGATATACTATCTATAAGAGGTAGGAACATGTTTGTTGTTCGTCCGGATACACGTGGTCCTAGTTTTCGTAACATATCCCCGATTCATTCACCAAATATACGTACAATGAATTTTACGCAAGTAGTGTAGTTTACATGAGTCATCGGCCCTCCTCGGCACTTTCCGTAACGCAAACCTAGAGAACCAATCGTCATCCAATATTGTCATCAAATCGACCAATCAAAAGGCTCTAACAACACCTCGTGGTCTTTCCAACATGGCGGGTGAGTCCACCTCACATCATTTACTTTGTTTCATAAAAATTCGAACTTTTTGCGCCAATAACGCTAATATTTCTTTATATTTCAGATTTGGAATTTTATCAGGATGATCCAGACGAAAACACAGATGATGGTAAGGTTCTTTCTTAATTATAATAACGTTTCTTCCGTAATTAGTCATGTCGCCTTCAGACGAATGAAAATGTGCTCTCTTGTCTCTGTGAACCGTTATGTATCGTCAGTATGTCCTTTCGCGCCGTCCATGATTTTTTTAATGCTATAGTTATGGCATAGTGTTTATTGGTTACAAATGTGTAACGTATAACCAATATTTTAATAGGGTAATTTAATTACATTGTTTCGTTCATTTTTTAGAGCATAATGGTAAATTTACACGCTGGCTTTAGGTAATGTGTGAAAATGGAACGGGGTCTCCATTTCTTGATGGGGCGAGGTCATGTGACCAATCCTCCACAACCTTTTCAACTTGGCCCGCTTTTCTTTTTCCCGCCACTGATCATTTTTTTTTATCTTCAGTGTTCACAAGTTAGTTGTCTACGTTAGACCAAGTCTAGTTTTACCAATTTTAGGCAACTTTTTTTTTTTATTGCCTAATTTTAACTTTTTAGTTATTAATTAGACTATGGACTAGAAAGATGTAGCTAGATCTAAAAATTGCCTGATATTTTGTGTGCTTTTTTAACCCTTTTTTTTTTCGGAAGGAGCAGAAAAATCGATTTTTGTTTGGCTTTTGCCAATGTGGGTAAGAAAGAGATAAGATGAAATAAAATTGAAGCTTTGATCATTTGTATGTGTCTAGTTCTAGATATTAAGATTCTTTGTTTTAGAAATATCCACTCAGGACCATCTAGAGTAATCTTGACTTAGGCTATTCGTGGTCTTTTTTTTTTTTTTTTTTTTTCTTCAAAATGCCTTATTTCAATGTTAACTTTTTTTTTCTTTAAACAGACTATGGATTTGAAAGTAGCTTGGGAGATGTGGAGGATATCACTCCTCTCCAAAGGCTTGAAAAATATCTGGACAGTGATAACATATTTAATCGGCAAGTAACTTAAATCTAGTTCTACAAATCATTCTGAACTTGGAAGTGTGAAGTGTCCAAATCTAGTGTTATTGTCAGTAAATAACAATGGTTAATAAGCTATTGAGAACCAATGCAAAATAGTTTGAATAACATTTTATTTGCTTATAATTCAGTACTCCTTGAAATTTAAAGCAGAGTTAAAGGATTAGATTTAAGACTATTCTAGTTATGATTTATGAAAGTAAAAATTGTTTTATAAATAATGAGGGCCTGGTTATGAAAATTTGTGTGTTTAAATAGTGAAAATAGTGGTCCATTGAATGATTTTCTTACATTGCTAATGTTAATACCACATGGTCATTTCTCTGCAGACAAATGTTGGCTAGAGGTCTTCTTGACACACTCAGAGCTGTTTATGAATCTGAAGACAATTGTGTGGCTGTATTGGATGCTATGTCTCGCTTATCAGAAGATCCTGGTGAGTGATAAGACTTCTTTAGGTACTTCGATAAACTGACCTAGATCCATTTTTTTATCCCCCAAAAAAAGTCTGAAAAGTGTGTCAGCACATTTTACCCTTTTTTTAGGGGTTGTAATTTCCATCAAAGTTTTAGCACATTGTATTTGATTTTAGGACTAATTGTGATTACTTTTTGTAAACATAAGATATCAGAGCTCATTTTTATTTGCTTTTGAAGCCAATCTGTTAAATTTTTCTTAACATAAGTTTAAGTGAAAGTTGACATTTTTACAACTTTTTTCCTATAAAAGTTACAATAATGCTGTTTGCTACAATAATTTATCATATTATGAAATGTGTATATTTCAAATTTCATTAAATTCTCTTGGCTCACTTTAAAGATATTCGATATTAAAATTAACAAAGAAGGGTAAAATTTTACTTTTTAAATAAAATAGTGTTTATAGTTACAACAATCTTACTAATTCTATTGAATTTAGCATGTTAATATACATCTGTGTGCTAAGTTTGAACTTTGTAGCTTGGCACACTCTTTAGATATTAATTTTCAAAGTTGATTGTTAAAATCTATTTATAGTAACAACCAACACTGATTTACTGGAAATGGTCAATTTCTATAAATAAATAGCTATTTAAATACAGTAGTATTATAATTAAACAAAATAAAACACACTACAGATCTGATTTGTTTTATTTGTGATTTTTTGGGCTCATATGACAAAATCACATATATTTGTATTTTTTGTTGAAGGCTTTTTTTTATATATTAAATCACTTTTCTTCAAAGATTTGATTGCTTGGTCTTATTTTTTAAATTGGTTTTAACAGAATACAGGTTAATGAAAAAGAGTGAAGTTTCAACCTCATATCTTTAAGACTTTTTATAATACAGTTAATTAAAGTTCAACTGTCAGTTGTTTCGGTCACAAATTTTTTTTTTGCTTTACAAAGGCTAATTTTTGGCCACTAAAAATTTAATAACTTCCCTCACAATTAACTCAGCAATATAAAATTGGTATCATTGGAAAGCATTTCTCAAGCTCTATCTAACCAAATAGGTTCCATTGCATTGTGATCATTTTGAAATTTTTATCGAAGTGCCTAACTTCTTTAACCTGATAATGTCATTTATATGCATTACTTTCAAATCAGTGTTAAAAACCTTTTTTTTTTCTTTCATTAGAACCTTCTGTACGATCAGAATTAATGGAACAAGTTCCACACATAGCAGTTTATTGTCAAGAAAATCGTCATGCTTTCGACAATGCTGTTCCTCGATATATTTTACCAATGGTTGTAAGATATCTCAATGATTCCAATAGCCAGGTAAAGCAGTGCTAAAGCTAATTAATTTTTATTTATTATAATTTTTTCCTTGATTAAGTACCCCTTATTTTAATTTTATATAGGTCCGTAAAACAAGTCAAGCAGCATTACTGGTTTTATTGGAGCAAGGACTAGTAGAAAAATATGATATAGAGAAACAGGTTGTGCACGTTATTCTTGACTTGGCATCACCTGAAAGTTTAGATGATTATAGGTCAGAGGCAGCTGCTGTAAGTATTAGCTAAACAATTTTGTAATAGTTCATGCAAATTTTTAGTTTTGTGGAGTATAACATTGTGAAATGAATTCATTTGTTCTAGATCTAGTTCTCATTTGTTGTGAAAGACATGGGTAGTGAGATGTTATATTCACTCACCTTACTACTCTGTCTTTTGCATTAAGTAGAACATTCGCCAGAAATACCTGCAGGACACAAGCCATAAAACAGTTGTCAAACCAACATCATCAATGCTGGATGTTATAGTAATTCATTAAGGCCCTATCACAGCCAGCTTTGATGAGCGTTGTTCTGACTGGATAAAACTTTTTAATTTTTATAAGTTTAAGACTTTTTTGTTGTTTCAAGTGTTCATTAAAAAAATTCAAGAACAAGATGAGAAAATTCAAGTTCTTCAATATATATACAATGCATGCTGCACTGACCAGGTGGTTGGGATGTGCTTTTCTTATTACATATCACAGCCTGCTTGGATCAGTACTGCGTCATTTTTCTCTTCTTGATGTTAGTAGTATCACCTTTGTGGCACGTCAGAGTGACTGTGATTTGTAGAGAATGTTCATATCACAGCCAGCTTTGATGAGCTTCAAGATTGATTTCTAACCTCTGTAGAAGTTTTGACAGGTGTTGAGCACATAAAGGAAGGAAAGGTTCTAGTTTCTATAACATCACAGTGATTGTGATGTGTGAAATTGGTCATATCACAGTCAGCTTTGATGAGCTTGGAGGCTAGCAATTTCTTGGGTGTAAACATCCGATTGCATTTTTACTATTTACTGATGACAAGTATTGATTTTTCTGTCATGGTATGACAAGACGTAGAGCAGAGCCTGAATTGACAAGGTCAAGACCAGGCTACCCTGACGTCAAGGCGGTTGTGATGTGGTAACACCAAACACATATCACAGCCAGCTTTGATGACAGGGATACCTATAAGCTGCAGACAGATAAGATCAATTTATATTTATTATATTGACTCTTCAGGAATTTATATTTGGACAATTTTTAAAATTCATTGCTGTGCCGTTTTGAAAATTTTAGAAATGGTATTGTACATTAGCATTTTTAGTTATTTTTTTTTATTTTTTTCAGTTAATGAGCAAAATGGCTCCTCTTTTAGGAAAAGATATAACTGAAAGACATTTTCTTCCACGGTTTAGTGAAATGTGCACTGATCCACTTTTTCATGTCAGGAAGGTAATGGCCGTTACATGATTTTGAACTTCATTTTAAGAGGCAATAATTTTAGCTTCATGTAATACACATTTTATTAATTATTTTTTTTGAAGAAAATATGCAAGAGCTAGATCTTAATTCCACCAAGTTTATTGATTCAGTACCTCAAACTAGTTTAACACAAATTAATTGGACTTTAGTCTTTTAAGTCTATGCTAGTGTTTTAACTAGAATGGCATTTATGGTTGGTATTATAATACATAGCATGATTTCTAGGTGAAATATTGCAATCGTCAAAAACGTTGATCTAATGTTAAGAGACTAAGACTAAGTGAGTTGACAAATGGTCGTATTGTCAAATGTTAAAAAAAATACTTTTCATCCACAAATTTTAATATTAATGAATTTAGTTTTGCACATTGGTGCTTAATGAAATCTTTTTAGAATATTGAATAGATAATAGTGTAAAGTAAGGCATTACATTTTTTGTAAAAATAAAACACTATTAGAATTCCGCAGCATTGACTGCTATTGATATCTGTATTATAGTTACACTAACTGGTAAGTTAATAACTTTGTATAATTATTCCTTCGTATTAATAATGGATAACGAGTATGACTACTAAAAGTATATCTGTAGGCATTAGATAGGCTTCACAGGAAGTATTCTTAAAAAAAAAAGAATATCGCCACATGAATCAATGCAAATAGCTTAGTCTAGCTTCCCTACCCCTAGAGGAATTACTAAGATCCATCCTTGTAATGATTTATGCTAGTTTTACTTTTGGAAAAAGTGGAGGGGGGACTGAAAAATGTTTGGCTTTTAAACTGGTGGTCCTGGGTTTGAAGACAGGGATTTTTAATTTTGGGATCTTAGATCTTAGTCCACCCACCTTTAATTGTGGGTACCTGATATTAGTTGGGGAAAAGTAAACACAGTTGGTCGTTAGTGCTGCCCACATGACACCCTCATTAACCATAGGCCACAGGAGCAGATGACCTTTACATTATCTGCCCTATAGATCACAAGGTCTGAATGGGAAACTTGTACTACTTAATTTTTGGAAGAGAGGATTCGAAGCCCTCAAATCCTCATTCACCTGCAGCTACATGAAGTAATAAACTTCTGCCTCCTTTGGATAATCTCATAGAAATAAGATTCTTCTTCCTCGTTCTCATTTTCATGTTGGAGTGTTCAGATGACCAATATATGAGATGAACTGCGCAGTGGTTTCCATATAAGGGGGCTCACCATATAGTTTACTTTCTATTGGGGTGTTTTGGGGCCAGTGTCTTCTACAGGCCTCTTGGTAAAGAGAAATGAGATGAATGCCTGGGCATTAGCTATGGACACAGAACAATGTCACCCACATAGCAGTTCCTTCCTCTACAAAGGAACTGCACAGTGTTGTTAGTTTAGGATTAGCAGCCACACAGGTTATGCTAGGGTGTTGCAAGCTGCTTAGGGGTTGTCACCTCCTATATTTTTTTCTACAGGGTTTGACTCCTGAAGACTTTCACATGTTTGGGTAATCTGCAAAGCAGCAGAATGGGTTGAATTCAGTTTTCCTTCTCCTAGGTGACAAGCCCCTCCTGCCCAAATCTTATTGGTTTAGCACTTTGCCCCTTATCCTGTTAGTAAAAATACTACCTATAAAATGATTTTGATATAACCTTGTATTTAAATTACTACTTAGTTTTCACATTCTTGTTAAAGTGTTTTTCATTTAACTTGTTGGCTAGGTGTGTGCTGCTAACTTTGGTGAAGTGGCAATTGTTGTGGGAGTTAAGAATTGTGAAGACGTGTTGGTAAGAAATCCTTGAAATACAGATCTTATTTCTTAATAAAATATATAAAATTAATAAAGCTACAATGAAAATATAACACTGATGTATTTGTTTGCAGCTTCCCAAATTTTTCAACTTGTGTGAAGATGGAGTTTGGGGAGTTAGAAAAGCCTGTGCTGAATGTTTTATGACTGTTTCCTGTGCCTGTTCATTAGAGACACGCAAAAATGAGCTGGCTAATCTTTTTGTAAATTTATTATGTGATCAATCTAGATGGGTAAGTTATATAACATAGTAACCCAATCATTTTTCCAGTAGAAATAGTCAATTGAAATATGTACAAAAAAAATGTTCATTTAACTTTTTTATCAAAAGGTCCGGATGTCTGCCTTTCAACAATTGGGACCATTTATTTCAACTTTTGCAGATGCAGATAGTACAGGATTATTTGTTAATGAAGATGGCAGCTTGAGTTTTAAAAATGTGAACAGGTACTTATTGTTGCACCACTTATCCTTTAGAAACATTGTTAGTGAAATTAACTTCATGCATCTTGTTAGATTTGAAAATATTAATTTTTATTTTTTAAATTTCAGTCTTGATGGTGACTTAGTAGGCCATGTTACTGGACCTGTTGATAATCTAAATAGAGATACAGACTTGTCAGGAATTTTACAGCTAACACATTTAGATACTTCAGTAACAGGGGATTCTGACCTTGAGTTATTACAAGACAGTGATGTTAGTAATAATAGTCGAATGCAGGATGAAGCTATGCTTGTTGACAACGATGATAAAGCAGATAAAGATTTTGATGAAATTCTAATGGGAAAAGGAAAACTTGTATTTAATTTAGATGGCAAATCAATTGAGGAAGTGAGAGCTGAATCAACTGAGTATTTAAATTCTAAGAGAGATGATTCTAGTTTAGAAATAAATCATGCCATAGATATTGACAAAGCTCATTCAGTTCATTGTGATATAAGTAACAGCAACACAAGTGTTAGCCAAAATATAGAAAATATTTCCACATTCCCTTCAGAGTCTAGTCGGGTAGAATTTTCTGATCACAGTGAAACCATTTATAGCTTAAATAAAACTAATGATCTGATAGCTGGACTTTCAGATCCCACCAAATGTGATAATCAACAGGATGCTGCTGGTGATTCTTCAAAGAAAGATGGAAGTAATTTTGTGCCTTATTCCAATGATTCTGATAGTGTTTTTATGGATAATTCTCAGGAGAACAGTGCTTCTATTAGAACTTTAGGATCTGGTGATGTTCCTTCTGATAGAGTGCATGTGCATTTAGATAATAATTACAATACCTTTCAATATTGGCGATCACCTCTTCCGGAAGTCAACATAGATTTCGATATCATTAATGGCCAGCCCACAAATATTCATGTTGTGGCCAAAGTGAAAGATGAAGATTCCAAAAAAGTCTATGCTTCAGAGATGAATGTTAGTATATCTGGCTCATTGAAGCCCAGAGTAGATTCTGTGGTGGACTCTTTGTCTGGCTTGTCATTGCACAACAGTTTGATCCAGTCCTGTACAAGTTCTTCTATTGTGACATCTGATGTGGAGAAATCTGGGGTTCGCATCCATACAGCTAGTGTGAGCACTGTCAGTGACATTGCTGATGAAACAGTTGCACATTTTGGTAGCACTCATGTACTTGGTCAACATTTAGGAGAACAGCATTTAGCTATAGTGGATGGTGTTGTTCAAGGTAAAATTATAGAAATGAAATTTTAATATAGACTTATCTCCAAAAAATGTAATTATCAAGTAAGCTTTGTTTATACTCTGCATCTTTAAACTCAATTTAAAAAAAAATAATTTGAAATATGAAGATGTACATAAAAAATGTTCTGTAAATTGTCTTTTGGTCAAGCTCCTTGTATGACATTTTTTGCTTAATAAAAATTAATGGCTTAGAAATAATGTTTAGCAAAATACTGAATTGTTTACTTTTTTCTCAAATCTTCACATTAATTACATGAATGGAAGACTTGATACATTTTAAAGGATCCTGGAAAACGAAATAAATTTAATATATAAATTACAAGCACATTAATGTCAAATGACAATTTAAAGTTTCCAACAGTCTAATTAGTGTTGATGTGAATTAATTAGTTGAAATGCTACACTGAACTTACGTCAATATGTTTTTATTACCTATTCTTTCATCCTTATATATTAGATGCAAGGCTAGCATGCTTTTTTTTTATCTTCACTTGTCATTCATTCAAGAAAGTATTATTTTTTTTGTTTTGTCTTCTAGATTTGAGTAATGGAAGCTTAAATTTCTTGGATGACTTAACATCAGTAGATTTTGGTTTGGATGATGCCTCACTTGCTCAGCAGCAGGTCATTATTTTTTTTTTTTTTTTTGATTGCAGTTGTTTAATTCTGAACATTAAATCATGTTTTTAAAAAGTTAATTTTAGTTGTATCTTGTAAATCTTCAATATTTTTTGTTTATTTCCACCTTTTAGAGCATTGTACCACAGAACATTAAATCATGTTTTTAAAAAGTTAATTTTAGTTGTGTCTTGTAAATCAATATTTTTTGTTTATTTCCACCTTTTAGAGCATTGTACCACAATTGTTGCTTGAGAACTATTTGGGGATGGTTGATCCATCTCGTGCTCAAACTGTTGATGGGGAAATAACCAAACATTGTGCTTACAATATTCCTGCTGTGGCATACACTCTTGGCAAACAAAACTGGCACTGTATAAAAAATTTGTATGAAAGACTTGCACAAGATATGCAGGTCAGGAAAGATTGTTTTTAAAGAACAAATTTGTCAGTATTTTATTTATGTTGTGAGACTGAATTGAAACCATTGAATTTCAAAGTAAAAACCCATACAGAAAAAAGATGACTCAGGAATTTTCATTTGGGCATCTCTACTTTAAAAAGTTATTGTATTGAAGAAAAGAGGATCTTGG